AACCCTATAAACCCCAAACCTCCTAAACCCTAGACCCTAAACCCTAAACCCTAAACCCCTTAACAAAAGCCTCGGGGGAGGCGCCGCGCACGTCTCCCTGGCCTACCGGGGTGTGGAGGGTGTGGTCGGCTCCCCAGGGGTTCCTTAAAAAAAGGGGGGTTCCCTTAAAAAGGGGGTTCAGGGTTTAGGGTTTAGGGTTTAGGGTTTAGGGTTTAGGGATTTAAGGTTTAGGGTTTAGGGTTTAGGGTTGAGGGTTTAGTTTAGGGTTTAGGGTTCAGGGGTTCCTTTTGGTGGCTCCTTTAAGGGATTTGAGGTTTAGGGTACATGGACCCTTACGCCCGAAACCCTAAACCCTTATGGTACGTACTCTGAATAGCACGTTTATGATAACCCTAAGGGAACGCTTAAAGGAAGGTTTGAAGCCCGACAAGCTGAGACCTTTCTGCATGGAGGAAGGTGGAGGAAAGGAAGAGGCAGAAACCACGGGGTTTCGGGTTAGGGTTCAGGGTTCACTTTAAACCCTAAACCCTAAACCCTAAACCCTAAACCCTAAACTGCAGGTCATCACCTCTGCCTATGGTGGAGGCGGCTTGAATGTGATCAAGGTCCGTGAAGATGGCAGTCTGGCAGAGGCGGCGAAGGGGCACTGCGTGGAACTGCTGCTTCCTCTTGGGTTCAGGGTTCAGGGGTTTAGGGTTTGAGGGCTTTAGGGTTTGAGGGGTTTAGGTGTTTAGGGTTTAGGGTTTAGGGTTTTGGGGTTGTAGGGTTCAGGGCCAAATGCATGATGACCCTAATACCACCCTTTTCTGTTGTGCCAGGTGGAGCCGGGAGCATCGATCCAGCATCACGGGGGCAGCAACGTCTATCAACCTGCAGAGGGCAACGAGCAGGAACAGGCTCCGAACACGAAGGGCCCGTTCTTGCTTACAGGACCATGGGACTTAGTAACTAGGGTTGTAAACAAGGTAACTACTATAAGCTAAACCCTAAACCCTAAACCCTAAACCCTAAACCCTAAACCCTAAACCCTAAACCCTAAACCCTAAACCTTATACATATAAGTAATTATAACCCCCAACTAAGGACACCAGGGGCCGTTCTCGGAGACACTTTCAGTCTAGGATATTTTCAGGAGGGTGGTTACCGTTTTAGGAGCCTTATAGAAGGTCTATATACCTTATGGAAGGAAGCCTTATAGAAGCGCTATCTCCCCACCTGTAGTTTCCTTTCATTCAGCTTTTGACCCTTCGTTTCACTCCCGGTGTTCTTTTGCATTGGCATCTGATGCTCGGTCTGGCCACGGCGGCGTCACACGTTGGAGTGCGCTTTTGCTTGCCCCTCAACCCTCAACCCTCAACCCTCAACCCTCAACCCTAAACCCTAACCCCTAAACCCCTAAACCCTAAACCCCTAAACCCCTAACCCCCTAAACCCCCAAACCCCCAAAACCCTAAACCCCTAAACCCCTAAACCCCGAAACCCCGAAACCCCGAAACCCCTAAGCCCCCAAACCCCCAAACCCCAACTCTTCGGAAGGCGCATCCGCATTCCTGCTTTTTGGATCCCGAAGGCAGGTTTGCCCTCGTTTCCGATCTGGGCCTCGCGGCGGCATTCAATGCTTTAGGGTTTAGGGTTTAGTTTAGGGTTTAGGGTTTAGAGGGTTTAGGGTTCAGGGTTTGGAGCTTAGTTTAGGGTTTAGGGTTTAGGGTTTTGTTTAGGGTTTACGGCTTTCCGTCAAAATCTGCCGAATCTGAGCCTGGTGGGAGGGGTTGGTGTTTTGCAGAAGACATCGATGCTGAGGCCAAGACAAGATCTATGCGGCTGGGCATTACATTAATTACATTACGCTCATTAAACCCTAAACCCTAAAAGCCCAACGCCCTATACCCCTTTAAGCCCTAAACCCACGTTCGCCTGGGAGACTTTTCGTGATGTGAGCTAAGTTTCGCGATGTGGCAGGTCGTGCCTGGTTTGTGCCATGGAAGGGGTTTAGGATTTACAGTAGAACCCAAACGTTGGAAACCCAACAGCCTCAACCCTAAACCCTCAACCCTCAACCCTAAACCCTAAGCACTAAACCCTAAACCCTTAACCCTAAACCCTAAATCCTAAACCCTAAACCCTAAGCCCTAAACCCTAAACCCTGAACTCCTGCACTATGCGTTTGACGACCCTGCAGTCGACT